CCGGCATCAGCCTGAGGTGGGCCGCTATTACTGGTAGAATTTTGGTAAATACCCTTGGGGCTGAGGATAGACCGAAGGGTAGTGCCCTGTATTGGTAATGCCGGTGTGCGTAGGTAAATCTGAGGAATTTTCGGTATTTGGGGTGGATGGGAATATGCAGGTACGCCTCCGTGAGATCTATTGAGGACAGGAGGTCGCCCCTCCTGACACTGGTTAGGATGGATTTCAGGGACTGCATTTTGAACCTCCTGTAATTTACGTAATAATTCAGGCCCTTTAGGTCCAATATTGCTCTCCACCCTCCTGATGGCTTTGGTATCACAAAGAGGATGGAATAAAATCCTCTTCCTTCCTCTTCCTTTGGTACCCTTTCTATGGCCTGAATTGACAAGAGGTGTGCTATGGCCAAGGTTATCAGCCTTGCCTTGTGTGCCTTTTTGGAGATGGGACATCTGATGAATCGGTTTGGTGGGGGAGAACAAAAGTCTAAGGTCAGGCCATGCCTGATTGTCTCCAAGACCCAGGCGTCGGTAGTGGTCTGCCCCCAGACCTCGATGAAATTCCTCAACTGACCTCCTATGGGAGTGTCCTGTCTGGCGTCACTTGGCGCGTTTAAAGGGTCGGCCTCCCGATCCTCTAAAGGGACGCCTGGACTGAAACTGGCCTATGGCTCCCCTGTTTGGGCGATCCTGGGAACGATCCTGTCTCGAATAGAAGGATCGTGAGCCTCTAGACCAATCCCAGGATTGCCCTGGTCGAAAGGGCTGTGCCCAGTCCCAGGAGTTGCCTGGGCGGGAACTTTGCCTCCGGAATTCCTGACTGCCTCTCCTGTCCAATTTCTTTGATGGATGGACTAGAATTTTCCTTTTGTCCCTACTCTCACTTACATGTGGATCCAGAATGGATCCAAACAAAAATGACCCACTGTACTTGGACGTCGAAAGACGCCACTTGGCCTTCAGATCTGTCTTCCAATTTTTAAGCCACAGTAGTCCGCGAGAGGCCACTGTGGCCGCAATGGATCTTGCCGCATACTTGGTTGCATGAAGTGAGGCGTCAGCCATAAATTGTGAGGCCGCCAGTATCTTGGGACGCCTGACCTGATCTGGAGGTCTAGTGGTTTGTAGCTCACGAAGCCACATTATGCACGCCCTGGTGAAGAATGATGATGATGTTGCCGCCTTGGCCGCCCAGGCTGCGGCCATGTGGGAACGACGGAGGGAGTGCTCAAATTTCTTTTCCTCTGGTTTCAAGGCCTCCGCCATGTCCCCTGGAATCGCAGAAGTAGAAAATAATGAGATCAAGGGACTATCTATTGCGGGGACATCTAACATGCCCGAAAGGGAAGGAGAAACATTGAATAGTTTCCTTTCCACGCTGTTAGGTGCTGGTGGTGTTGCTAGGGAAACCCATTGCTCCTCTACCGTGGTGCGGAAAACCTCAGGACAAGGAATGTACTTGTCCTGTGGAACTTTCTTGGCAAAGAGAGGGTTTGCCTCTTTACTAGTAGAAGGGTTTTCCTCCTGAACTAAGGTCAAATTGACCGTAGAGACTGCCTTTATCAGAAGTGATTTTAGAAGAGCTGGATCAAAGAGGCCAGCGCTTGTTGCCTGCTCAGGAGCGGTGCCCTCATCCTCTGAGAGGGGCATATCAGACATGTCTAGTAAATCTCCCTCTCCAATTTGAGAGGAAGTCTCAGAAATGTTTGTAGTCGGAGCCTTGCTTCATCCCTTAAGGGAGGGTTGAAAGGCTACTTGGCCCTTAGAAGCCATGAACTGGGAAAAGGCATCCTGCATGAATGCCTGAAATTGTGCAGACCATATGTCCTCCTGAGCTCTGACCGTGGACGCAGCCACAATGGGAGTATGGTCTGGTGACGAGTCAGGTGAAGAGGAGTAGGAGGAGTCCAACTGTTCGGTTTCCCCCAGAGGGGTAGGTTCTACAATAGGGGCCACCAATGGGGCAGGGGAAACCATGCTTGCCCCATTGGAACTGGTTTTCTGGGCCCTGGCAAATTGTCTCTCTAAAGCCAAATGTCTCCTCGAGGCCTCTCGCTCAGCTGTTTTGGATGGGCCCCTTTGAGTCAGGTGCTTTGTTTTAGCCTTCTTCCCCCCCACCTCAGATTCTGAGGATCTGCGTTTTTGTTGTTGTTGTGGGGGGGTGATTGGGGGCCCTGCATAGCTGAATACGAGACATTGTCTGCCATTGTGGCCAGGTATCCCGAGTAGGCAATACCTGGGGTGGGGAATAAATTGTACGCAGATCGGTTGCAGATGAATGAAGCCTGCAAGGCTTATTCTGCACAGAGGAAACAATGGCTGGACAGACAGGTTCCCTTGGGAGGAAGGATCCTGTGGGGCAGTGACTAAAGGTCACCCTAATGGAACAGTGGAGAGTTCAAATCCTTCCCTTTTTCTCCTTCACCAGGGGCAATGGCGATGGCCCAGGATTATTAGAATATTTATTCCCCAATCTGTGGCTGTTAAGACAGACCACAGGGTGCAAGCATAATCTAACTTTCTCTCTTCTTTGCTACCTCTCTCTCTCTCCTTTCTGTTATTATTTTATTTTTAATTTTATTTTATTTTATTTTATTTGTAACTGTATAAACTGTTGGTAATACCTCCGAGTGAGTGACCCACCTAAAATGGAGGCTACAACTATCACACCCAAAATGGAGTCTAGACTGAAGGCCACGCCTTCCAACTAGACTGTTAAAGAAGAACCACGAGGTTCAAAATGGCGATTTTCTCCCCAACGGTCTTTCTGCGGCTGAGGTAAATTATGGATTGCCTTAAAAAGGAACGGGTCCGTTTTGTGCCCTCCGGGAAAGGCCGCGGCTTTTCCAAGCGATTCTGGCGTGCCTCGGGCTAAACGGGGATACCGTATAGTGGAGAAAGCCTCTCCTGTTACTGGCAATTTTTCGCCTCTCTTTCTAGCCGTCGGGAGCTCTGCAGCTCTAGCGGACTCTGGGGACTTGGAGTTTCGCGCGCCCCAGCTGATCGAGGCAACGAAGGGGTAGCAAGTGCTCCCAAAGGCTTCCGCTGGTTTTTTTTTTTTTTTTTTTAATACTCTCACCACTCCTCTGAGCGACGCTTCAAGGAACGGCGATCTGTTGGCTGCTCGGAGCCCCGAGCCACAGGAAAGACAACTCACTGTGAGTTTCCTGATTAGAATAACAATTTGGCAGAGAGAGAAGAGGTTTTTTGCCTAAATATAGAAATCCTTGTCAGGAGCTAAATTCCTAGCTGCTAACGGGCTTCGAGACTGAGTCAAAACTGGGGTCAAGCCCAAGGGAAGGGTGTGGCCAAAGTTTTTACCCAGTCTGCCGGGCAGGAAGGCTGTCATAGAACCCAACCATTGGACTCTACAGCCATCCTGCTGGAGAACTATCTGTATGTGTGAAATCTGAATCAATTTTGTATTTTCTTCAAAAAAAATCATCTGAATTTCTGAAATGAATGGATCTCTAGTTTCTGGCCCCGCCCCGGGTCTCTCTAGGCATCAGGCCTTCAATACTCACCCTGCGAAGATTGAGAGATCCTTCGCTTTCTTGACTGCTCCAAGCTTTCGGTGCATTCGCAGAAAATGGAGGCCTAAAGTAACACAAGATCACATGAAATCAGCGGGGCAAGATTTCACACTACTGATCTTGCGTGATCTCATGGTACTTTAGGCCTCTGTTCTCTGCAACAAAGAACAGAACTGAAGCCAGGAGCCGCTTCTGTGTGTCTCCAGAGGCTGGATCCAGCCGCTGGAGGTCTTTTCCAGGCCGCTGCCATCAGATCTGAGGCTGGGGGACGCTTCTGCGGACCTCCGGAAGGTCGACCCGGGTTTCAGAGGCCTTTTCCAGGCTGCTGCTGCCTGGATCATCTTAATGAGCAAGAGAGTGATCTCGTTCGAGATATGAGATTCATTCCCACAAGTTTTCGAGTTACGAGTGGAATGGGCAGGCTCCATTACACTCGTAACTCGAGAACTACCTGTAATTAAAGACAAAGATTAACATATTTGGATGACTGTTATTGTTGGCCAATCAAGCACTTGTAGCATTAGAAAACACTTTGCATCAAGAAACAAGGCCTGGTTATTGCTCTCATGCTACAACTCTGAAACACAGTGGAAGATAAATGACAAGCTGACAACTTCTGCTTCTGAACAGAGTTTCTTATTTATTTATGTATTCATTTATTAATCAGATTTCTAGGCCACTCAACTCATAGCAATTTTGTGCAGCATACAGAATAAAACAATTAATACAATACAAACAGAAGATGATAATCTATGAATTAAATTAACAATATATTAAATTTCCACAATGGACACATTTCCTGACCTAGTGGTTAGCAGAAAGGCCAGGTCTTCAAGGGCTGTTTAAACAATGGCATGGTTGCAGTAATTTAAATCTGAAGGGCAGGTGCCACAAGTCCATTTAATGACATTACTTTAATTATAGGACTTGCAGCATGCCTATTTTGTCAGATCTGCCTGGACAGGCTAAAGCAGTGGGAAAAAGGTAGTCTCTCATCCTTTATAGGTACCTTGAATTGTATCCAGAAGCTTCCTGGTAACCAGTGCAGTCTATGCAGCAAAGGTATTACACAGATGTGCAAAAGTGCCTCCATAATTATCTGCACCACCATATTCGGCAGCTGCAATTTCCAAACCGTCTTCCACTCTTCCATTATTGAGTGCATTGCAATTGTTTACATGTGAGATAACTAGAATCTGAGTGACTATGAGAAGAGATTCATGGTCCAGGAAAGGGTATAACTAGCATATTGGATAAATCAAGGAAAAGCCTCCTATCCACAACTGTGATGGGAGGAAGCAAAAGTTTGCTATGATTCCTAACTTGCACTTAGCTATACTATAGTTAAAGAGTTAGAACTAACTGCAAGTTTCTGTCCTTCTTTGTATATCATTCTTGCCCCTCTATAAGGAAGCATTAAGCATATCTTACTTACCATACCCTTAGTATGCAGACAAGAATTACTTACACTATTGCACTAACACCACGGCAATATCTCTCCCACATGCTACGAAAACGAGGTTGACCTCCAATGTCCCAGAGCTATAAAGAGAGAGAAGCAAAAAGGATAAGAAAAGAGAAGGATGTGAGGCCTTACAAATAGATTTATCCATGACTTCCATATGCAGGGGTGTCAAACTCAATTTCATTGAGGGCCGCATCAGCATTGCGGTTGCCCCCAGGGGGCTGAGTGAGTGTGGCCAGGGTGAGTGTGGCCTACTGGGTGGGTGTGGATGGAGTGGGTGTAGCCTACTGGATGGGTGTGGCCAGCTCTACATCGTTCGCGTCACGGGTGTCTGTGGGGGCCTGGGCAGGAGTGGGACAGATCTGAGGGTCTCTGGCAGAAGGGGATGGGACCAGGGCAAGTGCCAAGGCATGGTCCACTGGAGGAACCTCACTGTTCCTCTCAGGCCATGTGTGGGAGAGGGGCTTGCTTATGGAGCTAAGACTGAACGTTTCAACATAGATGGCCACCACAAAATTGTACATTGGCTCCTGGCTGGCCTGGGCCAGGGCCAAGGCAGAGGGGGTCGTCCCCTCACTGTTTCCAGGATGGCTTCATGGGCCACATGAAACCACTTTGTGGGCCGCATCCGGCCCCCGGGCCTTGTGTTTGACATGTCTGCTCTACATGCATATTCTATTTTTCTAAGTATTTATATAATACAATTCTCCCCACTTACTTCGTGGACCATATTCATTTATAGCTAAGGAAAATAAAGCTGGAGGATTACCAAGATAGCCCAGAAAATGGATTCCTCAGCTACAATTCTAGATCCTACCAAGAAATGTTTTCACATTCACAAAACATGCAAAATTCTTCATACTTCAAACTATTAAAATGCATTAAAATATATATTCAAAAAGACTGAAATGACAGGAGATATATGCACTAAATTAACATATTCATATTTTTCTCATCATTTTAATGTGTCTATACCAACTATTGATATGTTGCTAACACTTCTTTTCAAATTCCCACTGAAGTCCTATCTTTTCCTAAAAAGCTGAATAATAAATCATCTACATAATCTACAGAAAAAAATGCCTTAATAAACAAATGTCAATCAATCTGCCCTTATTTTAGCTGAGTTATGCCTCCAGAGCTGGGAACCCTTGGCTCACAAACAGCATACAGCACTCATGTTGCAGTCTCTGAGAATAATACAGACCATAAATAATCTGTAACAAGTACTAAAACCACTGTGCTCTGAAAACCCACTTCCTCCATCTGAACCCAACTGAAAGTAGCCCAACATTTCAGTAATATTCCCTTTCTATGCTCCTGTCCTACTTTAAGAAGTCACAGTGCCTTCATCTACAGAAAGATTCCTGTTGCATAATCATCTAAAAAGTGAGCCTTTCACAGCATCCTCCCAACTTCCTGAATCAATTTTCACAACATCTGTCAAGGCATCCAAAGACAGGAGAGTCAGCTTATTTCAGCATCTAACATTCAGTATGACTTCATATGTGAAAGAAGCAGATAAATTTTAATTTCTGTTAATTAAATTTAATTTATTGATCTGCCTGGATGGCCACAATCTAGAGCAGTGGTGGCGAACCTATGGCACGGGTGCCAGAGGCGGCACTCAGAGCCCTCACTGTGGGCAGGCGCGCCGTCACCCCAGTCCTAGGCCTTCAGCTGGGTTTTATAAAACCTTTTTGATTTAGCCCTCCGCCACCATGTGCCAAAAAAAAAAAAGATTCAATCAATCAATCAATCAATCTTGCAAAGTTGGAATTGATTGATTGAACTTTTTAGTCCCACCCAGTCTGCCATTACCACTGCAGCCACACCCACCCAATGGGCCACACCCACCCGGCACCCGATGATGCATGTGGGTTTTGGGTTGCAGTTTGGGCACTCGGTCTCTAAAAGGTTCACCATCACTGATCTAGAGTACCCCAAACACTATGTTTGAAATCTAGTCAGGGTATTTTGTATCTTACCTTTATAGTTACATTTCCCTTGGTGATTTTCCTCATGTTGAAGCCCACTGTTGGGATCATATCTTCATTGAACTGTCCAGACTAAACAAAATAATAAAAAAAGATTAGTCATTCATTAGAAATGTCTAGCTTTCTGTTTAGCTTTTCAACAGCTCCATCCTTATAACAGGGGGAGATATAATAGAAATCAAAGGACTGAAAAGGATTTTAATTCCTAGATTGCATAAGAATGACTGCAACTTTTTTTTTAGATGGTCAACTTATCAAACAACAATCCCATTCAGGAAATAAAGTAATGGGGAAGAGAAAGAGGATAAAAAGCAGTCTCAAAGACATGAAGTAAAAGCTACCCCATCTGTCAATATGGATAGACCACAGACGATTCTCAAGTAGATCCACTGAATCCCACTGGTACCCCAGCTGTTCATTGTAATATCTAGTGTGCAGCACTTGGTGTCCTTAATTAAAAAAAAAAAACCTGTTAGACTGCTGCTATACAGTCTATTTTAGCATACAACTATAATTAAAATTGCAACTAATACTCATAAGATGTATAGGAATGTAAACTCATTTGTCATTTCCATGTTGGGTATTAGAAAGTGTACAAAATATAATCCGTATCAGACTGCAGCCTGATTGAAAATGACAATTGGAAGTATTTTATGGATCTCAATTGTTTATCTGATAGAAATCAACTGAACTAACCTACAGATAAAATATAGCACAAAACATAGTAACTTAGTAATAGTAAATTTTTATTTAAGTAAAATAGAATTTATTAAAATATGCTTGTTTATCTGATTATTTAATATTGTGATTTTTTTCCAAACAAAAGAGAAAAAAAGTGCATAAGCATGTGTTATGTACACTGGAATCCAGAAAGTATAAAACTGAGCAATTTCAGATGAAAAGATTTTTTTGCTTATTGTTACTTGAGTTGTCCTGGATCTGTGTTCCATATAACTTGCAACATTTGTCTCAGAATAATCTTAGAAATTAATTTTATCTGCCCACTGCTCTTGTCTTCTAATAATTTACAATTTTAAAATGACCATCAATTAAACTTTTATCATTTTAAATTTGGTAGCAGAGATTCTAAGTGTCAGCAATGAATTTATCTAACTCTGATTTAAAAATGGAGAGCTTTTAGCCTCTGGCTTTTAAAGATTTGGCACATCAGCAAATCTTCCTTGATTCTCAGTCTCTGTGTTTTCTCCCTCAACTTTTCATTTTAAAAGGCATATCCCGATCTTGCCAGAGAGATAATAATAGACTACTCAAAAGCTGCATCAATAGGCCAACAAGCTCACACTGCACTGGGATTTAATGCAACGTGCTACTCCAGACCTTGCTTTTCCAACAATGGTAAGGTTTTACTTAAGCAATAGACTCAAATATCCTCATTTTTCTGTCCAACTTTTTTTTCTGACACAGATCATCAATACTGCACAGCAGAAAATTTTTATTATTATGAGATTCCTAACAGAGGAGATAAACAAGTCTTTTCTCAATCCACCCTATCTCATAGGGAGCTTTGTGGAAAAACTGGAAGAAGGATCATTACATGCAGTATATTGCCTTGAGCTCCTGAATGAAAGCAGGGATATCAATCTAATACATAAACTGGGCTTCAGAGCTGGGAGCAAATCTTAGGAAGTTTAGAGGACAGCAAGGCTCTTAAACTGTTTTTAACAGAAGCTACTAGATCGGGCATGTCAAACTCGTGACGTCACGTGACGTTGCGTGACATATCGCAACTTTTTACCCATTGCCGGCAATGGGGTGGGGGCAGTTTCGGTGTGACGCATCCGGCCCGTGGGCCAGTTGTTTGACATGCCTGTACTAGATCTTTACAACAGGGACTATCTTTCTGAATTTCTTGAAGAAACCATAGATGTGATACACAAGAATGGCTCTTTAAAATCTAAGACTTAATCATAAGAAGGTCCATGGTCTCATCAGAGACTTGTATATTGCCTCAACATAATCTGATTTCCTTCAGCATCAGCAACATGTACACAAATAGACTAGATAGCTGACTATTTTAGGCTCTAACACAGCACTGTTATAACTTGCATTTCTGTCTTTTGATATATCCAAAAAGTTGTCTTTCAGTATATTGTTCCAGTATTAAAATCCATTCGTCCTTGACATATATTTATGTTTGTTTCCCAGGCTAATCATAATGCAAGAGCCTTTGAGCCAGAATTCATGGGGCTTCCATAAATCAGAGGAACAAAACAAATGATTCTAACATTTAATAATAATAATAATAATAATAATAATAATAATAATAATAATAATAATAATAGCAGCAGCAGCAGCAGCAGCAGCAGCAGCTCAGAAACATTTTACTGTATTGGAAAAAGTACCTGACAATTTTTCCTGTTACTAAATAATTATGTAAGTAATGAGGATTTACCTGACAGTAAAAGAAAAAAAAGATAGATTAAGAATATTATTAGATGACAGATAACCACTGAGAGCTGAATTTACAGAAAAATGAATCTCCACCACTTAAGTGTACTATTGTTCAAAACTTCAGCCAATCTCAAAGAAGAGCCCATCAGAGGAAGGATAAGAGATGGAAAAAAGTGAAAGGAAAAAATAGACACTATTCCTCTTGAGATCTTCAGTTCTTAGTTTTATACACACACACACACAGAGAGAGAGAGAGAGAGAGACAGAGAGAGAGAGAGAGAGACAGAGAGAGAGAGAGAGACAGAGAGAGAGAGAGAAGACATCCTATTGTAAAGAGGAACAACTGGTCATTAATTACAATAAATCCAAACTTTTAGTTTTTTCCAATAAAAGACAAAGGTAGGTACAAGTGCATAAATTCCCACGAACTAGAAAAAGTTAAATATTTTAAATATTTGGGCACAGCGTTTCAGGCTTCTAGGATATTAACTGCTCAGGTTAATTCAGTGACTTCTTTTGCCCAAAGGCAACAATATTATGCATTAGCTATAACCAAATTTTATACTAGCAAGAGGCAAATTACATTCCAGTAGCAATTAAACTGTTTATGATTGTTTACGATTGAAATAGCTGCCTAACTATTATATGGTACACAGTTTAGCCCATTTATATGAGGACATATAAAACTATTCATTTGAATAATTTATTTTTCTCTTATTTGTAATTTTAGCCAAAGACCATGTTAAAGAAACTTAAAAATGTATAATGAATATATGTTGTTTAATTTTTATAGCAATGGTTTAAAGCACACAGAAAATAAAAGGAAGAAATATAAAACCAAATGTCAAAATGCCACAGCAATTAAATCAGGACACAAGAGAAAATGAAAACATTATATTGAATAGTCTTTCAGTACTAGAAAGACACATGCCCAGTTTTCTGAACTACAATTTTCATAGTCTTTTTTCATTCACCAAGATTGCTAGGGTTTATGGGAATAGGAAGCCAAAAAGATTAGTCTGCCTGTCCTTGCATGAGTTACTAAATAGTAGCCAAAAAATATACCCCAAAATTAATCAGGCAAAATAACTTCCATAATTCAAGAGCTATCACAAACTATTCATATCCCTTGATGATTTATCCTTGGCATGCAGGTGATACCAAAATAAAAGCATGCTCAGCAAATTGTAAGGAAGTAAAATATACCTGGTCATGCAGAGAAGCACTAGCAGCTAGCTGTAACAAAGATATAGACCAGTGGTTCTCAACCTGTGGGTCGGAACCCCATTTGGGGTCGAACGACCATTTCATGGGGGTCGCCAAACAAGGCTGTCCGCCATTTTTCCCCTTTTCTTTGGCCACGCCCTGGCACCACAACATGGGGAACTGTATTATGAGGTCGCGGCATTAGAAAGGTTGAGAACCACTGATATAGACCATGCCATAGAAATACAACATATTTTTATTTCTATGTATTACAATGGACACTTCCAAAATGATATTTGCTACTTATGGTCTCAAATGTGACACAGCTTCCAGCATCGAATCTTTTTCCAACTATAATAGTAGGATTCACATGTGTCCTATATCAATCAGATGATGTGAACCCAGAGTTATTTGTCTGGAACTGTGCCCACTTTCCCAGAAAAAAGAGAAGAGCTCTTGGGAAATAGAAAGTGTGAAAGAGAGCACTTGCTTTAAAATAGTTGCTTTATGATCAGTCTGCCCTCCATAGCAATGACTTTGAGACAGTACTTACTATATATTCTTAACATTCTACATGTGCTTACTAGCCCCAAAAGGTTGGGGTCCCTGAATACAGCACAGTGAGTGTAAGAACTGCATAACCCTAATTAGGTTTTGCAGACCAAAGCCAAAAATGTTATAGGAGCACACTATCCTGCTCCCACTCACACACACATACCACAGAAGATTCAAGGGGTTTATTGAGGCTTTCAAGCCCTCCAAAGGTCTTCCCCAGGGAACCCCAGTCCAGCAACAAGGCAACCCTCCCATGCGTGTCCCAGCTCCGTTCTGAAATGACTCTTGCATGAATTCACAATGCTGGATTCACACTACAAGGAGACAAGCAAGGCACCCCACACACACACACCAAAGCCCACCCTCAAATTTCAAGGCAAGACAAATCTGAAAGTAGGTCCAAGAGTCTCGGCACAAATCCAGGGTCTAAGTCCAACATCTGGGTCAGGAAGATCAACAAAGAAACTGGCAAACACTAGGCATTAAAATGGACGTGTTGTTCCCAGCATTATTCCCCTCCTCTTGCTCTGCTAAATAGCCATTGCCTGGTGCAGTCCAGCAAGAGGGGCAAGGCTATCACCTCATGAATAACTGGGCAGAACACCATTGTTCCTGCCTCTTCTCCAGTCTGGGTTGGATCAAGTGGAGGAGGCAGTTCCTTCTCATCTGTGCTGGCTAGCTGCAGCTGCATGCTCTCTCCTCCTGAGATCTCAACTATGTCTTGATCATCCCATGCTCAGACAACTGCTTCAATGTGCTTGGTCTTGCTGATCCTGGCTTGGGGACATCAGCTACCTCCAGGCATGCTGCCACCTCCCCCTCCCCTCCGATATGCCTGGGACCGGCTCATCCTCCTCCAAGTTGGCATTCAGGGAAACATCCGAGGGATGCTTCAGAGG